TGCGTAGGTGTGCGCATCTGTGTGCAGATTCGTGCACGTGAGCAAAGGTGTATGTAGATCCCAGAGACATCAGGTCTCCTGGAGCTGGAGTTAGAAATGATTGTGAACCACCTGACATGGGTGCTGAGAGAGTCTTCTGGAAGAATAGCAAATTCTTTTAACAACTGAGCCATCTCTCTCCAGCTCCTGATTTTAATTTTTTTGGGTTATATATTTAGGAATGGAATAGCTATATCATATGACATTCCTGTTGCTAGTGTTTTGAAGAGCCTTTAGTGATTTCCATCGTGACTGAACCATTCCCACTAGTGGTGGCTGAGGCTTTCTCCTTTCCCTCAGTATTCTTGGCAGCATTTTTTTTTCTTGATGGGTGGCCATTCTGACTGAAAGACAGAATCTGAATGTAGTTTTGAGTTTCCTTCATGTTAAAGGATGTTGAACAGTTTTCTTATATTTTTTGGCCATTTCTAGAGAACTGTCTCCTCATTCCATTTGCTCATCCTTTGAATGATTAGTTTTTTTGATGTTTAATTTTTTAATTCGTGGATTCTAGTTATTAATTCTCTTGTTGACCGAGTTTTCTGTCCTGTGCAAAGAAACACACAGAGGTCTACATTAATTATAAACAGGTTGGCCTGTTTGCTCAGGCTTCTTATTAACTCTTATAATGTATAAGAGTTATTAACTCTTTTAATGTATATTCTTGTCTGTGTTAGCCTCATGGCTTGGTACCTGTTATCGGTGAGGCAGTCTCATCTTGCTTCCTCTGCGGCTGGGTGAAGACTGCATCTTTCCTCTTATCATAATTCTGTTCTCATTGCCCTTCCTCTACTTCCTGCCTGGTCACCCATCTATACTTCCTTCCTGGCTACTGGCCAATCAGCATTTTATTAAACAAGTACAAGAAACAAATCTTTATAGGCTTAAACTATTGTCCCATAGCATTCTCTGTCTATAATTGACAAAACTTCTCTCATTCTGTAGGCTATTGCTGTTATTTTTTCCTTTGTTTTATAGAGGCCTTTTCATGTTATATAATCCTACTTGTTAATTCTTGTTGTTTCCTGGGCTTCTGGAGCCCATTTCAGAATGTTCTTGTCTATTCCTGTACCTTGATGTGCTTTCCCTGTAACATGTGAGAGATTCCGGTCTTGCATTATGGTCTTTGATCCATTTTGAATTGTTTTTGTACAGGATGAAAGATAGGGATCTAGCTTCATTATTTTATGTGAGGATACCCAGTTTTCCCACACCTTTTATTTAGAGTGCTCTTTCTCTAATATACGATTTTAGTACATTTGTTTTAAATTTATGGTTATAGCAGTGTTGATTTCTGGATCCTGTGTATTCTGTTAGTCCTGCTGTCTGGTTTTGTACCACTGCCATGTAGTTTCTGTTGGCATGACTCTGGTAAACAACTGGGTGCCGATACTTCTCTCATTGTTGTATTTGTTGGGATCGCTTTGACTTATTTAAGGTGTGTGTGCGTGTACGCTGACAATAATTTTAGAATTGTTTTTTTCTAGTTCTGTGAGGAATGTCATTGAAATTATAATGAGCACTGACTTGGCTCTGAAAATTATTTTTAGTTAGATAGCAGTTTTGCAGTATTCTATTCTAGGTGTTTCATGGGATATTTGTTCATTGTATATTGCCAGTTGTATCATGCCTTCTAAAGTCTGTATTTAATGTAGTTTTTAATGTAGGGAATTACCAGTGGCTTGAATTTATTTTTTCCTTCCTAGTTTGAAAGCAAATGCCTCTAAATTAAACCAGCTTTAATTTATTTAGAGCAAGGAAAATATCCCACTAATTTGTATTGTATAGTATATTGTTTTAAATTGTATTGTATAGTAACTTGTTTTAAAATTTATTTGCTTCAATTTTGTGAATTTGGGTTCTTAAGGGTTGTGAAGTAATACATTCTATGGTCTTTTTCTGCTAAAATAACTTTTCTGTGTATTTGGTATTCTGAGTTGGATTTTTGTTTGTATTTTCTTTTGTGGAGGCCATAAAAAAGAGCTATTAATCTTACGTACATATGACTACATAACAGCTACCTCTTTATGGAGGTACTTGTCTTTCAGATATAAATAGATTTCTAATACTGTTCTAAGATTTAGTAATCATCATGTTAAGAAAAACTGACTTGCGTAATCTTAGCTAGTAAACCCCTGCTTTGCCGTTTGTGCTGGTATGTTACTGTAATGTCTATCAAAAGCTGAGTTGCGAATAGTAGAGTCTATTTAAACTTGTGCTGAGAGCTGAAAACGTTTATGCTTGTGTTCCTTATTAAATCTATGTGTGATTAAAGCATGTTTATAAATATTGACTCTTATTTTACTCAAATCAGTGGAAAATGCTAACTTAAAAACTGAGTGGTCATGATCAAGTAAAGTGTCATCTCTTTATGTCTTTGTATGTTTCTCTAAATCCCGGTATAGTACGCTGAGGTATGCCTGAATGGATTTAAGTGTGATACACATAGAAAAAGCAGATGGCTACTTAGATAAAATGCTTTTGTCTGTGATAGTCCAGCTTCCTTGGTAGTTTTCTGTTAGGAACAGAATTAACTGACAGTTGAACTTAGTAAAAGAGGGGGAAAAAGTCAAAGTAATTAAAGCAAAGAAAGGGAAGAAAGGCAGATGGCATAACTAGATCCAGTTTTTAGTCATAGGCACAAATAGTTTTGTACTATTAGTGAATGAGACCGTGTAAAAACTGCACACCATTGCCTGTGCCACACCAGAGAATATGTATCTAGTGTTGATATTTTATCAGGTAGATAAGTATTTTGATATCCAAGCTCTCAAAATGTGTGCTTTGTGAAATTGCAGTCATTTTGACTCAGAAATTAGTCAGTGGTAAGGAATGTCAGCAGATAAATATCAGTCTGGAGGGGTATAAATAGTAGAAAGTAAACAAGAAAAAATAAAAATTGTTGGTTACTCTCTGAGCAGTAGTTTTGGAGAATGGGAATGGTAGAGACATGTCACAGCTCCAGCAGCAACATGTTCACAGTGTGTTACATTTGCTAAGACATTAGTGATCTGCAGGGAGTAGGCAACTTTAGCCTTCATATTATCATCTGTTGTCATGAAAATCATGTATGACTTTACGCTTTTAAAAGAAACTTACAAATTGGAGTGTTTCTGAATAAACTGAAGGGCGTGGAAACATGTTGAGTAGTTTACAGTATACTTGTATCACGGAACTTTCCTGAGTATTTATGAGGTTCCTAAGTGGCAGTGAGTGGCTGATGTTTTAGGAGTGGGAGTTTTAGCTCAAAAACAAAACAAAACAAAACAAAAAACCAGCAGCAACAACAACAAAAAAACCCAACAATAAATTTAATACTTAGAACTCCAGAGATGTTTTTTTAACAAATTGTCTTTCTTAATCATAGGAATATTTAATTGGAAGATAAATGCCCAATTTAGAAGTTACTGTAGTAGAAATTTTAAATACTAATGGTTCAAAACTTTGATCCCTCTGAACCATTGTTGTAGGTAGACTATTGTGGATGTATGTGGAGCATTTCAGTATTATTATGTAATATTTGACACAGTTGTTGTGAGTCATTCATTTGCTTTGAGGACTAACTTGTTGCATATGTCTGTGATGATCTACTGTGATCATTCCAACTTATTAGGATAGTGTTAGCAGAATCTCTGATTGCTATGACTTTAGGGAATGAAACGTTTTGAACATAGGGGTTTTGGAAAAAGTACTAAATAAAATTCAGAAGAATTGGATTGAATTGAGCAATTCAGTAAGTGAGTTGTAGTAACATGAGATACAGGTTCACAAAGATTAGATCAGAGACCTCCCAAATTACAGAGTTACTGTTAGAACTAGAACTTACAAATAGTATAGCCCAAATTGTTGAGGCTTTTCTGTCTAGAAAGGTGGTATTCATCTGCTCAGATTCAGCTATGAATTAGTTTGTAATCGGGAGGACTACAAGTATGTTTCAGTTATTTACATTCCTGACAGCCCTATTTTCTAAATAATTTATATACTATTATTAGAGTGATAAATTTTTAAGACTGAGAAGAGAAGTCAGGGTGCCACACTGACCTTAGACTCAAGGTCTTTGGAAATTTTAGAACTGTAACTTGTGTGGATCTGGGAGGAGGGGGTATGTGCGAATATGATCAAAATGAGTTGTATGAAATTCTCAAAGAATACAATATTATTTTAAAATAATATTTTAAATATTGACCTATTCTTGCATTTATAGTAACAAGCTCCCCTCCCCTAAGATTGAATCTTGGGCCTTGCACATGCTGCCATATCTCTAGTCTTCCCCTTTGTTTTGGTGTTGTTTGTCTGTTTTGGGATTATTTAGAACCGCTTTTGCAATTATAGCAGTAAATACCATTTCCCTACTCTCTATCTCTTTCCTCAGGGCTGAGAGTGGAAACAAGGACCCACATTACTGACTTATGCCCCCCAGCCCCCCACTTTGTTTTGACCGCTTTTTTCCCCTTCTTTAACTATCAGTCCTACTTCTTTTTGTGTTGTTATTTAGGTACTGTTTTCCTCTTCCTGGAATGTTGCTTTATTAAAGTTCGTGTAGTTCTGTCAGTCTCCCTTTTTCTTTTCAGAGCTTTAACTGCTAAATTTGTACACCTCACTCAGACTTTGTCTAAACTTGGTATGTGTTGTCTTTGAGCATTTTGAGTGTTTTAAAGATATCTAAAATATCCAAGATGTGTCCAGTTTAAATCTTATTGCAGCAGATTATTTATAAAGAATAAGGGTTTTGGTATTTTGTCTTGTGTGTTCTTATGACAAATAAAGCTATTTAAAATGACTGACCTCATTTTTAAGCGTGAGTGTTTTATGTAAACTAAAATCTATGTGATTATGATTAAGAGTCTCTGTTCTGAAGTTAGTTTTAATAAGATGTGTAATTTGGTTGATGTAATTTGATTTATGGTAGAAATGAAGGCTGTCACCTTGTAAACAGGCTTAATCCAGAGAATGACAGATAGGGCACCAGCTGTTCATATTATATCAGGGACGTGCCCCTTCCCCTTTTCCTGGATTAACAAGGTCATACTTTTGTCTAACACATTTGAAATTTTTACTTTTAACAGAAATTAGCAGAGTACGGAAAGACATGTACAATGACACATTAAATGGCAGTACGGAGAAAAGGAGTGCAGAATTGCCTGATGCTGTGGGACCTATTGTTCAGTTACAAGAGAAACTTTATGTGCCTGTAAAAGAATACCCAGATGTAAGTATATTTGTTGTTTTGTTCATTTTTTCCTGCATTACACAATATGCAATTAAGATCACTTTTATATTTATTAGTTGCTTTAAAAGTGCTATGTATGAAATTGGAAATGGGAGTAATTTTATGTGACTAATTAAACATTTTCTCTTTAGTGTATATTTCCATTTGGTTTTTGCTATGTCACTTTGGGAAGTACTCATGGTGAAGACTTTGGAATTTCAGACTTGAGGTCAAGAATTGTGGGAAGACTTGTTCTGAATGTTCAAGTTGAAGTGCATCTCTGGTGGTGTTCAGTCTGACCATACAAATCCCCAGCTTGGACCATGTATTCTTTCTGTAAAATGAGTCCTGGACTTCATGGTTCTTCCAACTCTGTAAAGTTTCTATGGAAAGGACTCTTACAATCTGATTCCTCCTTTTCCTAGTCTTCTTTAGTCATTTGCTCAACCAGTCTCTATCTAGTATTTGTCTTTTGGAAACAGTCTCCTCCTATACAGGCTGATTTTTGAAGTATGCCTTTTGTTACAAAATCCTGTGTGGTAGGATTAATTCTATTTCTCTTAAATGATTTTCCCACTTTTTTTTTTGGCTTTTAGGATAAATCAAATCTATTCCCCGCTTCAAGATCTTTATGTCATTTATACAATGATAGAGTTTTCATTGTGACTGGCTGTTGCTTTTCCTTAAGTGTGGTTGAGTGTCCATCTCCACCCCTCCCCTAACCTTGGCCTCTCATGCTCCACCTCTACAGTACTGTTGTCTGGTGTTTTAGTTTTCTTTCTCCCTAGCACAGCAGGGCTGGAGGTGTGGGGCCTTCAGATGACCCTTCACAGGTGTCACATATCAGAAGAAATCTTACCTATTAGATATTTATGATTCATAGCAGTAGCAAAATTACTATTCTGAAGTAGCAATTTAATTTTGTATTTGGAAGTCACCACAACATGAGGAACTGTATTAAAGGATTGCAGCATCAGGAAGGTTAAGAATCTCTGCCCTAGCAGAATTTATTGTACATAAAACAATATGTATAATACTTTTAATATTTGTTAATTCGCTGCCATAATTTACTAGTGACCCTGTAATACTAATACATAGTGACTATTCATTACTTACTGAGTACATAAAGGAAAAATAATGACTGCTGTATTTGAGAATATCTATTGAAAAAAAAAATGGAAGAATGACTGATATTAGAAATAGTTTTTGGACCCATTAGTTTATTCAGACAATATTAGTTTGTAGGTGGAGTATAAATGTCTTAAATGGGGGGTGTGGAGTTTTGGTATTTTACAACTTGCAATTTTTAGCACACCTTTCTTTAGTTTATACATTTGCTCTATTTTTGTAAGTAGTTTTTGTTGCAAACACACACACACACACACACACACACACACACAGAGAGAGAGAGAGAGAGAGAGAGAGCGAGCGAGCGAGCAGGATAATCTTGCCAAAAGTGGGTTTTGTTGAATGATTATAGGTCTTGTAGAAAATTAGTGACAAGATTTCAAGATTTTGTGGATCTTGTCACTGGAGAGCCTTGCTGTTAGATTGTTAAAGATATACAAAGTTAATCTCTGAACTCTTTAGGAATGTGCATGAATGCATACATACATATTTACACAACAAGAATTAAATCTTGTCTACATGTTATTTTGTAGGATATAGAACTTCTCATGTTTTTTAGTCTTAGTTGATAATTGTATAATCATCAATACAGAGAATACTGCTTCATATCAATGCATAGTACAAAATGGGAGAAGAATTTAGGGCCCTTTCATAAAGTGTTAGAAATCTTGTCTTAATTTCTAGCCAACATTCGTTCGTCAGTTAAAAAGTTTCTTAATTTATTTTTATGTGTAAAGGTATTTTGCTTGCATGCATGTATAACACCTGCATGCAGCCCCTCTGGTTGCCAGAAGAGGCCGTTAGATCCCTTAGGAGTGTAGTTGTAACTGGTTGCAAGCTATCATACGGATGCTGGGAATTAAACCTGTGTTCTCTGGCAGAGCAGCCAGTGCTTTTAATCTGATGCATCATCTCTGTAGGCAACCCCCCTTTCCCGGTTTAAAAAACTGAAACTCAGTTTCTAAAAATCAAACATTCTAAGACAATATAGTATAAAGATAGAATTGAGTCTTACTGAGGAATGACACTCAGAAAATAATTATCTTTCTTTTGTGTAACGAAACCATGATGTTTCTATAAGAACAACAAACTTTGTTCATATAGTAAAAGCACTGCAGTTCCTAACTATGGGTTTTGAATCTTCCTGAGGTATTTCATGAAGCATTCATTGGCATTGCATGAACTAATGGCATGCACAGTGCAAAATACGTGTATTCTGTCTTTAGGACCAAGGCTGGGAATATGGCTCATTTGGGTCTGCACAAACATGAGAACCTGACCTTGAACCCCAAACACCTATACAAATAAAAGCCAGAAAAGCCAGACGGTATATGCCTATAACCCCAGCACGGTGGCACAAGAGTGGCAACACATGAGGATCCCAGGGACTTGTTGACCATCCAGTGTAGCTGAAACACAGTTTCAGGTTCAGTGACAGATAACCCTGTTTCAAAAAAGTAAGGTGGAGAGGAATAGAGGAAGACAACCACTGTCAACCTCTGACCTGAGTACACAGACATGCATTCACAGTTGTACACATTTACTTACATATGTACAGCACATACAGAATAAAAATAAGATCTTGTTATTTTACTTTTACCTAAATTTATGAAATGTTTAGATTACATAGTTATCTGTGGTAGTTGTAATTTGTTAATGTATTTTGACAGTGTAAAACTGTTTATGTTTTAGATACAGGAATTATTATTGACTTAAAGCTTCAGAGACGGCTAGATTTTATGACTTGTTTTTCAGTTTGAATTTTGCTGCTGCTGCTTCCTCCTCCCCCTCCTCTTCCCTCCTTCCTTCTCTTCTTTTTTGCTTTATTCTGTGCAGAGGTATATTGAGAACCTACCTGTGCATATTTGGTTATACTGAATTTCTGAGGATAGTAGTAGTTATTATTTTAGTGAGTTTCAGTTGAGTATGGAAGCAGTAAATTTTCTTTAGACCTGTTTTGTTTTTTTGAAGTCTAACAATTTCTAATGTCATAAACCTTTTTATAATCTTTAAAATGGTAGGTACTTTATTTTGTGAATTATATATCTTAATATTTAAAGATAGATAGTATTCCAAACAATAATTAAAAGTTATTTTTGGAGACTTACTTGTAAGCAATTGATTGTCAGCCTCAGTTAAGATGGAATGTTTGATTCATCTTATGAATGTATTATGATCTGCTTTGTTAAAACTTTGTTAAGACGGACTTACCAGTAAAATACAAAAGTTACAGGTTTCTAAACTATACATTTCTTTCTTAAAATTCTCACTAAACTAACAACAAAAGAGATCTAGTAGAAAAATTGCAAAGAACACTGTACTTAGCCACATTAACTTTGTGATAGATATTAAAGGAGGAAAGTTGCTGGTCTAACTTATACCCATCTTGGGAAAATGGAATTTTTTTGTACCTGAGACAATCAGTTCTAACCTCCCAATACCAGATAGGCATGTGGAATGGGCTATGAAGGAAAGTTAATTTTACTTGAACTCTACTGTCCATCTCATAACCTGTTGATTCAGGTTGATATTAATTATTTGAAATGCTTGGATCAAATTTTTTTTTTAGATTAGAAATATTTGCATGTGTAGAAACAGATTTGGAACCTATACCTGAATATGTTTTTGTTTCACATGCATCTTAAAACACACATTCTGAACATAACTTTACTGAACAGTTTTATTGGAACTGCATTTTCAATACAGTCATGAGTTCTGGTATGGAATTTTCCACTTTTGGTAGCAAGGAGTTTTGTATTTTGGAGCCTTTTGAAAGTTAGGGATATTCAACTTGTAGCAGTTGTCCTAAATTTGTTTTTTAGTGATTGAAGTCATTTATATCTTCTTTTGATTTAATTGTCAGCAGAAATCTGTCTTTAAAAAAGAGAGAACAAACTCTTAATGGGTATATCAAGGAACTTTGGAACTAAATTTGATTATTTTGTTGGGAAAGTGTAATTTGTCTTAACAGATCTAGCTATTTATACCAGAGCAGTTCAATTGAGAATTCCTGAAATCAAGTTTCTTTATAACTTGGCTATGCTTTCACATTGGTAAGATTGATTAGTTGGTAGGAATTTTTGCATTTTAAAAATTTGTGCTGGTGATTATTGTTGAAGCAGTTAAGAATCCTTGTTACTCCTTCAGTGGGCCCAGATTAGGTTGTTAGCACCCGTCCCTCGTCCTCTGCAAGTACTATTCATGTACATGGCACACAGGTATGTATGCAGGCCAAACATTCATAAACATAAAATTAAAAATAAATCAACCTTTAAAAAATTATCTATGCTCTGTTATTTGTGGTTAATGGAGGAGAGGTTCATTTTTAATAGGGTCTAAATTTTTTCATTTATGGCTGTATGTATCTAAGTAGTATAAATAAACTGTTTAGAATTGGAAAATAAATTAGAGTTATGAAAGTCTAGGTCTGGGTATATGGTCCAGTGGTAGAGTTTGTGCTGAGTGTGTTTGTCATTCTAGGTTCAGTCTCCAGTGTAAACCAGCTAGTCCTCCAATGAACCAACCAATTGTAAAACTACCACTATCACTAACAAAACTAAAAGAAAGCTTAAAATAAGGCATGAATATAAATCAAACATTTTGTATCATTTAGTCTAGAAATATTTGTGTGTAATCTGTTGTAAATAACTACAAAATAATATGAAAAAATAAAATATTTGCTCAGTCTTACCACTTGCACTAACCAGTACCACTTGACCAGTTTCTTTCCACCTGCTGATCCCCTCAGCCGCTTATAAGCTAACCACTTAGAGACTTAATGTTAATTGTAATTGACCGATCGAGTCCTATTAGTTTATCGCCACATGGCCATGGCTTACTAGTGATACCTTGGCTTATTACTTGCTTGTGTG